GCCTGCGGCGCGCGCCACGGGCTTTCGTGGCTTGGCGCCTACGGTGGGTCCCGCCCGACTCGCGCCTCTTGGGAGCTTGGCTCCTGGAGGAGGATGGAAGACGGAAAAGCAAAGGGGAAGGAAAAAAAGAGAACAAGCCAGGGAGGAGTGGGAGGAGAGAGAGGAGGTGGGCAAGCTCCAAGAGGAAGCAGAGAGACAGAAACTAGTGTAGGGGGAAAAGAAAGAAAAAAGTCTGAAATAAGCATCCAAGTTCCAAAGCACACCTTGGTGATACCCCATTGCAAGTAGGGTTAGTGACACTGGAGCACAGTTAGGTGAAACCTGAGCCACCGGCCTCAGATACACTGGTTCTGAACTGTTGGGAGTGTGAGCAGGCAGGTGCTCCCTGGAGCTCCACACACCTGAGACAGCCACTGTAAAGAATGTACAAAGCAGTCCGGGAAATGGCCACGCTGTGGTGTTTTTAATGCTAACCTAACAAGACACCACGGTTGTTCTGAGATTATGTTAGAAATGCAATGTTTTTCTCTTTCCTAATGGACACATAGTAAAGCCCCATTCAATCAGCATATCTTGTACTTGTTCCCGCCATCTTCTCCTAGTAGTCCAGGAAGAACATTTAAAAGCAAAAATAAATATATAAATAACTGCCTCACGAACACCTCACAGGTTCAAATATGTTCCTTGTGTTTTCAGACTTGTAGCTGTGGCCTTTTCAAATTTGATGTTTGGGACATGAGAACAAAGAAATTAGAAATACATCTGTAATGTCCAGACTTTACAGATAAATATATTGGTCAGATAGTGTACTTATTTATAAGTTAGAACATTTTGTTCAGATGTATAATGAGATAGTTCTTAATTCTCATTTTAAAAATTGTCTCAAAACTGCTTGAATGAATGAGAAGGTGTATGATTGAGTCAATCCCATTCTGAGCACTTAAGAAGGGGCTATAAAATGGCAATATTCAGGGGGAAATATTCATTTAAAAAATAAACCTGATAAAAAAAAACAAGTGATATCCATTGTGTCTACACCATGTCAAAATAGCCCCACAAAGTCAGAAGTCTGTCTGTATGTAAACTGTAGGAGATTGGTTTTGGTGCCTTTAGTCTAAATGTGTGGGACCTTACAAACAGCTGACAGCATTTCATTCCACTCGAGAGAGGTTTATTTGCATACCAAACATTGAGCCTCTATGCACATCCTGGTGCACTTCTGTTAAAAAATGACATGTGCAGAAAATATGTATACTTTCCACTCTTACACTTATAAATTAAGTCAGATCTGTCTATATGATCAGAAAAATTGCAACTATTTATTAAGCACTTTTTAGGTGTCAGTGTTATACCTATCTTACACCATCAATCTAGAAAATAGTGTATCACCTCATTTGATCTTCACAGGAAGAATTTGAAGTTTACTTAAAACTCTTAAGTACCTTGCCCAACATTAGACACCTGGAAAGGGACAGAATCAGGATTTAAACACAAGTATGTCCCATTCTAAAACCTATGTCACAGGGCTGGAGGTGTAAATGGTCAGTGGTAGATTGCTTGCCTAGCACGTGCAAGGACCTGGGTTTGATTCCCAACATCAGGAAATAAACAACTAAAAAACTATGATGTTATGCTACACTATGTTATGTTATAAAACACTATTATGTTATGTTCAGCCACAGTACATAATAAAAAAAAAGTTAGTAAGAAAAGAAAGTGACATTAAACTCTAGTAGAGTAGTACCAGGGTAAAGCAGAAAGAACTTTGTTTTTATGGATTAAAAGATTAAAAAACACTGAAATATGTTACCAAGAAGGAAATGCATTCCAAAAAAATACTGTATGAAATGGACAGACAACTGGAATGGTTAAATGCTGTCTACACCCTTCCCCTCCCCAACACACGCTATTTAAGTTGGATAGAGTGGCAAATACTGTAATCCCAGTACTCAGAAGACTAAAGCAGGAAAAAAATCACAAGTTCAAGGTCAACACAAGCTACATAGCAAAGACATTGTGTCAAAAAAATCAGATGAAGGAGAGAGAAGAAGGAGGGGGAGTATAGGGTGAGGCAGGGCAGAAGGAGGAGGAAGAGTTAACTGGTTTCTGATAAAGAAGGCAAAAAATAGTGTCAGCTACTATCAGAGTAAAAGTGTGTCAATTTTTTCTGCCATGTTGAAAAGAGAAAACAAAGTACTTTAAAAATTCAGAGAACTATAACTGATACACTGTGTCTTTTGTTTTGCTTTGTGCTTTATCCTACATATGAGCCTACTTTTTGGAACTGAATTATCATTATGCCTTGGATACATGGACTGAATCCCTTAAAGAAGTACAAATACTGCATCCCTTAAATAAGTACAAATATTATACTTGAATTAAACAAATTATTTTTAAAAGAAAAAAATCACACTGGTATGAAAAAATGACTATGTTACCTAGCTTGCCTACGGTGATTATTTCATAATATATACATATTTTAGGAGACATCAAGTTTCAAACCTGAAATAATTACACTTTGCTTGTCAACTATACTTCAGTAAAAGTGGGGGAGCTATATTAAATACAATATTATACTGTAGATGTCAATTTACTCCCCACACCCCCCAAAATGAGTACACTTGTGGAGTAGAAAACCTGAACCATTTAGTGGCATCACACCACAAAGTAGGGTACCATGGGTGTTGCTTCTGCTGAGGGAATTTAAGAAAGCAGAATGTAATCTCCCAATTTAGAATTTGGCCAGTAGACAAGAGTCTAACGCCCCTACTCTTGTGAAAATAGCAAGGAATCTTTAATAAGCACCAGTAGTCATGTCCTCAGTTCTGCATTTCATCTAAAAGATAAAACACTATCGTGGCTCTCTTGCCAGGCTAAGGGACTGACTGATGCAATGGGAAACCCAACAACAAGGACACTCCAGCTGAATTACAAAAATAGCTTTTCCCCCAAGGATTTTTACTTCCAACCTCGAGTGTCACTATCACAAGGAAAACAGACAAACACAAATGTGATCACTGCAGAAAATACATCATTACCTGACCACTAGGGCTTACTCGTCTGGAGTCCTTTGTTGTACTGGTTTGTTGAAATGAGGGGAAATAAATTGTAAACTTAGCTAGCTCATGGTCCAAACTCACCTTGCAAAGTCACTAGCGCAGAAACAAACACATATAGATAGATACAAATATGTACATGGATATCATTCAAACATATGAAACCTACAAAATAAATTCTGCATCTCTATATAAATTACATACTGGATAGGAAAATGACCATGATCAGGATTCTCTTGACTCCAAGTACAAATGTCAAAGTAAGATAGTGTGGTGTTTCTACCCTCTGCTGATCCTGGAGTGCAGTGATAATACTTTCCAGAGGAGCCTTTTGCTCATTATAACTCACTGAGAGCTAAAGATTCCACATTTCTCTTAAGTAATAAAAGGAAAGTAAATAAGCCACTGACTATCACCATTCAAACTGGCCATTCGAATTGAAACCATCTCTGCTTCTGCAGGCATCTGCCTCCAAATTGCCATTAACCAACTTGTCAAACATTTTGTTTTTACAACAGTGGAAAAAAACTGCTCAGAGAATATGCACACTGCTTACTATGTGGTAAACTAAATTGAATAAAACTTGATGGCTACTGATTGTTTTACTGTTGCCTCAATTTATTCTCACATTTATAAGGTGTTTTTCACTTTAGAAAACAAGAGTAATTGTAATTTGATGCGATAGTGAACTTCATAATGTTGCAAAAATTATTCTTAGGTTTTTGGAGTTTATGGTAAGCTGAGAAGCACTCACAATTGTTGAATTAAAAACAAAACACCATTTATGCCCAAACAAGTGTTATTTTTATCCTCTGCTATCCAACTTTCTCAACTGTCATCCTTGAACAACTGCAGAATGGAATATTCTTAGCTGCCACTTTGATCTAACCTTGTACACATGTAATCCATGGTTGTAGTGGTAAAACTGGAGACATTAAGCATTTCATGTTTAATGAATATGTGAGATAATACTAAAATTCTTTATTTGATTTTAAGTTCAGATAGATTAATCTCTTTCTGTTTTCCTGGTTACAAAATATTCTTGTTTCTTAAATCCTTGCTTTATCTCCAGAATGGGTTTAGAAGTGGAAGCACCAAGATCTCCCTTGAACTATTTTTCCAGTTACATTTCCTATAGTCTACTGGAGTACAAACTGGTTGAACGGTGTTTTGCTACCTACTTCCTTGAGACAGAGTTACATTAATTCTTTAATGAGACTTAGATATGCTTCTATGGACACTGTGTGTTGAACAAATAATAGAGCTAGCTCACTGTAGATTAAAAAGGAAAACTTTGCAGGAGGAGACGATGAAAGCATTTATATAGGGACTAGTTACAGCAACCAAAACATGAAGGTATCAAATGCAGCTTAGACAATCTTAATTTGATTCTTTCTTACTCTTTTAAGACATTTATCTATGCATTCATTGGAGATTGGACATGTATATATTACAATATCCAGCCTCCAAGTTTAATTGTTAATATATAGTTGTTTTCTATAACTAATCCCATCACATTCTGGAAGACCTGTTCCAGTATGTTAGAGGCACAGGTTGGCAAAGTGAGGATTAACTTTGTTAATTAAAAAGTAAAAGCCTATTTGAGTTCAACTCTCTTTTGTGCAAATACACAATTTATAGCTCAAACTCACTTGTGGAACCGAGTAGTAGAAATCTGAGCCCCAGAATTTCTACAGAATCCTGACTGAAACGTAATTCATTTCATTTTACTATATCCCTTGTTTAAAGGTGTATACTTTATATCTCATTCTCT